TCTCTCTCTCTCTCTCTCTCTCTCTCTCGCTCTCTCTCCACATCCGTTGTATAAGTTTATTAAAAACATATTTGAATATTATGTTAAAGTTTTAGTTCAGTAATATATAATTTTATAATTAAAACAACAAAATTATTATTAATAATAATACGCCATAACATCAAACACCAAAAGTAAGTTTTCATTTAACCAATGTCTAATACTTGGTAATGAATTTCTCATATATTATAATAATTGCTAATAAACTATAGAATTTCGTTTAAAAATCAATTTGAATTTAACATATTTAAGAATTAATGATAAAATGTTTGTAGTTTTAAGCTTACATCTATAATAGGACATTAACCATATTTACAATATCATTACACAAACTCTCGGAGTTAACAATTATTTTGATATATTATCTATTTTTCTATATCTTATACTTTTATGTAAACTCAAATATGAGATTACATTTACAAATCCCATAATGTTAACTTATTAGATAATGGATAATTTACTAATATTATAAAGGGTGTAAGATGTTATTCGTTGTCTCTAGTGTACTATAAAAGTACTAAAATTAATTAACATTATATAAAGGTTAGCATTAATAAAACAATTACGAATGTCAGATTAAACATGTCCGGAATATTTTTAGATAAAATCAAATTAATATGGTAGATTATGTTTTATAATATAGATTTATGAAAAAGTTATGGCCATTGTTGTGATCTCGTGTTTACTGGCGCATGCAGTAATGATACACAAGCGTTGTGTAAAACACTATTTTTCAATGCTATATACCGTATACGCGTGATAACAAAAAATGGCCATAACTTTTCCGTTTATGACTATAAGCCCGTAATTTTTTATAAATCTAAATTTTATGACATAATCTAACATATTAATTTAGTTTTGTTCGAAAGACGGACAAGTCTGGCAAGAGTTAGTTTAATAGTTATGTGAATCCACGTCAATACAAGTAACAGTAAAGTATATTAAATTTTATATAATGTAATTATTAAAACAACCATACTCAAATGTTCTTAAAATTAAAATAAAAGGTAGTATTTTAAGATGAAAAATATGATTTTCCGGTTCAAAATATTTTGATTACATTTTTAAAAAAAATATAATTAAAACATTAAATAATTATTGAAGTAAAATTGAAACAATTTTTAAACTAATTAAACAGAATATGTCCAACGATTATGTCTTACAATCTGAACGCAAATATCCAGTTCCTGAGGCAGTTGTTTCGATAATGCCTTACGAACGTAACCCCCAACATGGCGTTCAGCCACTCACCGTTCAGGCGCAACAATGGGTATTCGAAACAAGTTTGTTTAGCCAGCAGAAATTTAAACGAATAAGTGGCACGACCGAATTCACCGACTATTTCTGGCCATTTTGCTCTAACCCCGATCGTTACGAAATCCTGATTAAATTGATCGTGAACCTTTTTGTGTTGGACGACCACTTGGAGACCCCGTACGGCGATATTGATCGTCGTGTTCCCGAAGCGGAAGCCATATTTGGCCAATTGTATCGCGTATACGATAAGCTATTACAACCAACAGACAGCGCGGGTCAGCCCGAGTCCGTGCCATTTCACGACTGGAAACCTTATGTATTGGGCGCGTACGCCATCTACGACAAGGTATTCACTGATTATAATGACGTTCAAAAACATAGGTTTATAGAAATATGGCGTCAGTGGACCGATGGCATGGTTGAGGAGTGCGCCCATTTGCAGCACAACAAAGTGTTTGATAACCTTGATGAATTTTTCGAGGTAAATTAAATTGATTTATTACCACAAATGTGATAATATATAAAGAATGTGATTTATATTATCGTTTAGTTACCTTCCTTTCACTCATCCGCCGCTCTATGGTATTACAGCTTAAGTCTATGACTATATTTTGAAAGTAAATCTCTCATAGATTAAAAATAAGAATGTTTTAAAGTTAACTTTTATTGGAGTACAGTTTAATTCATTGATATAGGATTAACATATGTTAATGAATATCTGTCTATGAATAAGTGTAATCTTATAAATAATTCTAATTCTATAACGAATGCTTTGCTATAGAATGCTATGTCTATTGGCATATGTTAAGAATATGGATAATGTTATCTCTATGGCAATGCTAAGTCTATTTGACTCATTAATCTGTAAATAATGCTAATTTATTCTGTTAGCAATACCTGGTTAACCTATAAATTTCGCCGTGTGAATTTTGTTTATTATTAATGAATCTTAATTTTATTTATCTATTTGGAGTAATAGATAGGGTAATAGATACTATTATATAGGTATACCTAAGTCGGGGGCGAGGTATAGATAAACCCTAAACACCCTTTAATTTATACCTACGGAGACACTGAAGACTATTATAAATCTTATTTCGCTCTCTCAGCGAACACTTCCTTAAACGACAATAAATTCCCTTCAATTTAAAATATATAAAAGCGTTTAATTTAATGGAAGTATTAATTACAATACATTTAAAAGTCTTATAACAATACAATAACGAGAGGGCTATCTGAGCACAACCTCTCACTTGCGTCCCTAATTTACGACTGAAGTAATTATATTTACAATCCTATGAAAGGCATGAATACAGTCACTCTTATATAAAGTTACACTAAAGTCTTTACATTAATATTGAAATACAAATCATTAAATAGACTTTAAGAATATTTATAATAATTAATGACATTTTAGTAGTCTGTATAAAATATAAATAATAACTAATAATAAGTGATATTCCTTATCACTCTATATTTAGTATATAATGTAAATTCTAGGCTAGAATATAATATTTTAAAAGCCGATTTTTAAAAAATAGTTATTAACTTTTATAAAATCTTTAGGCGAATGCTTTTAATCTAAAGTCTTTGTGCACTTTAAAGGTTAGAGAGAAATCTGTGGCTATATTAATGATCTATCATCTCATTGAATACGCGGAAAATCTGTTCGTTCCGGAGTCCGAGTGGCTGAACCCAATTGTCCAGCAATTGCTACAAAAATTGTCGCGTTTGGCAGTGATTTGTAATGACATGTATTCATTGGAAAAGGAACTAATGGACGCCGGGAATAAAGGCCCTAGCGGAGTTTACAACTGTGTAGCTGTGTTCGCACAAATGCAAAACATATCGCTGGAAGAGTCTATGACTCATTGGTCCAAAGAATTTAAGGATTTGGAAACAATTATCGTTAAATTGTCTGATGAAATACTAGCGGCTGATTGGGCCAGTCCTGACACCCGGCGATTTGTTCGCAGCGCAATGTATGCCACTGGCGGTCATTGGAAAGTTTCCACCATGCTCGATCGGTATAATGTATTCATCACTCCGGAAACAATTGCCTAAAATTATATACAATACGCTGTGTATTGTTAAAATGTTGTTGTTTAATTTTATTCAATATTTATAATTGCGATTTCATTTATAAACTTATTTTTTGAGTACGAGGCTCATAAAGTAAGTCAAATAGTAATGTATTTTAATTTAATCTATTCAATAAACAGAATGTATAAGGACAATGAGCTAGTACCCATTATTGTTTTGCTCAAATATTGTTTTACATTTAAGTCAAAGTTGACTTACTCTGTTAGCACAACTTCAATTTATATTTTCAATCAATATTAATTTATTTTTATTATCTAGATCAGTACGTCTCAAAAGTACGTCTATATTATATCAAAAGTACGATCAGTACGTCTATATTCAGGTATAAAATAACGTTGTATGTAGTGTATACTATTGGCCTGTTCAACAGGATTTTAGTATATCACATATACAGATTCACAGTATGCCATAAAAAGGTGGCGCAACGGTCAGTAACAAAGTTTAGGTTTGTCAGTATTAAACAAGAAACACCACGTGAAAGTCAACTTAATAGTTTCTCATCCATTTTTATAGTGGTTGGCTTTCAGTCGATCCACAAAACGTCATTTAAAACAAATTATTAAATACACATTTAATGAGATTTCTGATAGCGTTTGCGATTATCAACAATTTTATTAATATTTGACTCAATGGTATTTGACCATATTTTCAAACGTGATCTTAATGGTTTTTCGCAAATACTACCAGTTTTGTCATATTTAATCGATTTCATTAAGGAAAAAAATTGTTCACAATTAAAAGTAGATCCAAAATATGTAAGAATTGTTAATATATTTTCAAACGTGATCTTAATGGTTTTTCGCAAATACTACCAGTTTTGTCATATTTAATCGATTTCATTAAGGAAAAAAATTGTTCACAATTAAAAGTAGATCCAAAATATGTAAGAATTGTTAATACATTATTTATGCGTTGTGTCCCTTATATTAAATATAATTATATTTAATTATAATGCAAAATGTCTGGGAATTGTAAATTGAATAAATTAATTATGCTAGATATTTTTATTGAACATGTGGCTACACTAAGTATATCTGGTTTACTTGGTTGAACAGCTTTAGTATACTGTATATAAACTATAATCAACCAAAACATACACATTAGTCATATTACCTCTGAATCACAATGCATTCAATAGCACTTACAGTACACTATTTATAATAACAAATTTATAGATTTGTCCTCATTATAAATCCAATGCAATTTTGCCATTCAATTACATTGCATTTGCCCTGAGAGAGACAACAAGATCTAGATAATAAAAAAATACATGCATGAATTAAATCAACTTTCAGAAAGTTTCACCAGTTCAGTCAATACGACCACATCTTTGCGGATCAGCTCGTGTTCACTGAAGTCCAGCGAATCCTTATTTAAAGCCATTTCACAATTGGTTCGCTTGACTTCTGTTGATCTCTCAGACAATCAGGTATTGGACACACATTTCGATCATCTCTTCGATCGAGATCTGAATTTTAAACATTATATTAAAAACTTTTGTTGATTTTATAATTTAATTAGTTTTTATAATTTCTTAGTTTTTCTTTACTTTATAACAATATACAGTTGTAATCAATTGATTACACAATTCATTGCAGTTATTAAAGGTTATTTCCAAAACAACAATCAATAAAACTTAATTATTATCGACTCTTATAAACAAGAAATAGTTATCTTAATTAATAATTAAATAAATTGTAAAATTAAATATAATAAGCTAGAGGAGATACCAGATAATGCGTTTGGGCCTAACCAGCATCTATTGACCATGGTGGTGTTGGATAGGAACCGACTGAAGAACCTTGGTAAAAATGCATTTAAACCACTTAATGGGTTAAATTGGTTGGATTTAAGCAGCAATTTATTGACAAAACTGGCGGACAATTCATTTACACTGCAATCAGTAAACGACTCGCAATACAATCCCTTAAGAATTAACCTCAAACTGAACCAAATCGCCCAAATCGGTGACCAGGCCTTTGCCGGACTCGACCGACCCGTCACTCTCGACCTGTCTTTCAACAATTTAACGCAATTAACGGCCAATACATTCGCCCATATGTTAAGCTACGAGCCCTCGAAGATTATTATTAAAGGTAATGTAATTGTAGTTTTAATTGAATAAAAGTTATATTTAAAAAATCAAATATTACACTATTTTGTGACTTTAATTTTGTTATTATTGAATAATTAAATAAATTACTGTTTTATTGTTTGTGTAGGAAATCACGTGAACTGTGTCTGTGGTCTGAAATGGGTTTACGTGAACAGCACTATAAGGCCTAAGATGTCGGGTCTCCTCCGATGCGATGACAAGCGCTACTTCTCCAGCCTTACGGACACTGATTTTAAAAATTGTACGTAAATTAAAAATGATGGTACTTTTAATTTATAAATCAATGCCCAACACTATACATAAAATAAATACTTCACTCTGTGTTTTACATTAAAAGCTATTTTCAATTATATAAAGTATAGTTAATTAAAATCCAATTATTACAAATGAAATAATTCAAATCAAATTAAAATTTTATTTTATATGTTTTATTATCATATCTGGTTAATACTGATAGCAATGTGCTCATGGTAACCACAATTAGTGTTTAGACTAAACTAGATAATATGCAAGCAAAACAATTGAGATTGATAACTCTTTCATAACTAATATGATATAAAAACTATAATCTAATTAATTAGTAAATAAACTAAAGCACAGTCCCTGTGACTGAGGCTCAGGAGTTTTGTAGGGCCACTACTGAGTCGCGCGCCAACACGAGGACAGACAGGCCTGAAGTGAGTCAAATGAGTTGAGTTTCCGATCGGAACAGTAGTCGATATACCGATAGCAGCGTTCGTCGGCCTCATTGTAGGACCACTTCTTGAGCGGTCGGCGATCGGCGCAGAAGTGGTCGACAGTAATGGGATTATAGCAGTATTGGGGTCGCGGGCGGCGCCACCAGCTGTTGGCTGTGCCCTCACTCAGGAGGGGTCGGTTGTTGAGTCGGCCCCTCTCCAGGAAAGATCGGCGCAGAAGTGGTCGACAGTAATGGGATTATAGCAGTATTGCGGTCGCGGGCGGCGCCACCAGCTGTTGGCTGTGCCCTGACTTAGGAGGGGTCGGTTGTTGAGTCGGCCCCTCTCCAGGAAGTTCGGGGTTCGCATATTCTTCCACATATTGTCGGCCGAATGGCTGCCTTTAGGCACTTGTATTGGCACCCATACCGTCTCATAGCCGGGTCGGGCCCGCACTGAGGGCGCCATTATTGGATACATCGGTAGTAACGGTTATAGCGGTAACTGACCATCTCTTATGCCATTTGCTTTTGCCACAAGTATAGGCGTTGGCCGAGGGGTTGTTGTTGTAGTGGTTGTGGTAGTTGTGGTGATATCCGAAGCGAACGGATCAATTGACAGCTCGAGATCGTCGAGACTGTCCTCAAGAAGTTTGGCCGCATTTGATTCAGTCGTTGCCTTTATTTGTGGTGTTATTGTTGTTGTAGAGGTTGTGGCAGTAGTTGTGGTCTCTAATGGTTTAGTACATGTGGTGACTATCAGTTCACTCGTTGTCTCTATTAATTGTATTTGCATTTCAATTGGTTTAGTAGTAGTGGTTGTCATCGGCTTAGTAGTGGTCCCAACGGTTTGTATGTATTGAGTGGTTGTGGCTGTCATTAATTGAATGGCTATTTCATTACTGTTAGTAGTGTTAGGATTGGGGACTATTGTCTGCGGTATGATTATGTTGTGTGCTGTAAAGGTGATCACAATTTAGCGGGAATATACATTAAGGACATTCAACCCATCGCTCGCCCTCTAAACCCCTTTTAAAGCCTATTCTACGAGCAATGCTATGAGAAGGCTATCGATTGGTGTTAATCCCTAAATGCGAGCCCTTCTATAACCCAGAAATCCTGGAATATATATATTTAATGTTTATTTTAAGGTTTAATGTTTGAAATGAGAAACAATAGATGCGAGAAGAATACGGAAATGAAAACTGTATTTAAAGTTTAGGATTTTAATTGAAGTTCAGTTAGTCTTGAGTTAGTTTTGGACAGAGAAGCGAGTGTTAGGACAAGAGTAGAGTCAAGTTTAGGGAAAACCTCTGAATTCTACTCGCATTTAATGTTTCTCAAAATTATAATTTGGTTTATTATTATTTAGAAGTATATTATTGTTTATAATTGGCGTGTATTTTGTATTTAAGGCGAGATTTCAATAAATAGTGTTTAAATTAAAGTTTGTTTTTGATTTAAATTGTGTGAATCTCGCGTAAATTGTGATTAAAGTTGATTTAGTCACGTGTTTATAGTTATCCCCGCTATAGTGCCATCAAATCCCCTCCAAAGCCTTTCCCAATAGTAATGATTGGCTGAAGTGGTGGTTGTAGTGATACTGTCATTATTTGCTCTGGTTGTGGCACTAGAGGTGAGAGGCGCTGGGGTTGTGGTAGTTCTGTAGTGATTGCAACGCCTCCGACCGGCACAGGCTGTGCGATGGGCACCGGTATTGCCATATTATTAACGGGCGCTTTGGTTGAGGCCATTACTGCCAGCATTGGACTAATTGGTGGCATATTGTTGGCGGATGTGATGGGTGTGGGAGGGGTTGTCATCACTGATTGAAAGTCAGGTGTTTGACTAACAATAGGAGGAATGCTAGGACTGATAGGGTTGACAGGGATAGCAGTGATGGCAGGATTGATAGGACTGACAGTATTTACAATCATATTGTTAATAATAGGCGCAATTGTTGGTGCGGGTGATTGACTGCCTCTGTTATCGATAACTATTTGCCCGTTTCCAGGGACCGACACCGGAATCGCTGGATCATTGTTGGCCACAGTGTTGTTGGTCTGGCCGGTGATTGGCTGCTGATTGCGTTCATCTCTGGGCACAACTATTCGGCCACCAGTTTGTGTTTTGTTTGGAATTTTTATTAGTTATATATCGATATTTTTGATGTTATATTCAACTGCAAAATATTTACAATACCTTATGGGAAAGTATTGCGTTAACTCTTTGCTCGTCACTAATTCAATAACAAATTTAAACACAACCAGAATCTAAACTTTAAATGTTAAACAATATGCTGTATAACTGTATACTTTATCATGAATTACAACTAAGATGACCTTACTGTTAATAGAATTTTGTACTTTTCAATCAATTTGCACAATGTCATCGAAATATTTTATAAATTAAAAATTAAAATCCAAATTTTGAATAAATATATTAGTTTATAATATGACAGCCCCAGTGAATGTATTACGTTTATAAGCACTTACTTTTAATTGATAGACGCCATAAGTGTTTGGCAATAGATAAATATTTGATGTGTTTTGTGGATCACTTGTGTCAGTGATGTAGACACTCAATTAAACACTATATTTGAATATCATTCAGAGATAAGTTGAATATTAGTTTTGCTTTATATTCTAAAAACAGAAACTATTGATAACTTTGAAAATGTTCATGCTCATATTGTTAGCGATATTATCTGTATTAATATATTATGTTTATTACCAGAGAGTAAAACACATGTCTATATTAAAGCGAAAAGGAATTTCGGGTCCAAAACCAAGTCTTATTTGGGGTAATGTTTACAAAATCCCAAATTGTCTGCAATTAAGAGAAACGAGAAATGGATCGCAAAATACGGCAAAATAGTTGGCTATTATATGGGAGCGAAAGCCACTGTTTTGGTGGCCGACGCGGACGTAGCGAAAGACATACAGATTAAGGACTTTCATAACTTCACGGACAGAGCGAACCTCAAACTCAAAGGCGGACCCTTTGGTGACTCGCGTTTTGACGAATCATTTCTTATTCTTCGGGGAAAGCGATGGAAAAAAGTGAGAAGTGTTTCGACTCCGACTTTCAGCGCATCCAAACTCAAGACAATGACACCCATTATANTTGAATTAATTTTTATATGATTCACGTATAATAAGTGTGTGAGAGGGGGTGAAAGGGGGAGAGTGCGAGAAAGGGGTTGAGTGTATGGAAAATTAACATGGGATTACAGCATAAGTCTATGACATAAAAGTAACATGGGCAATGCTAAGTCTATGGACATTGCTAATTTAATGGACATTGTTAAGTCTATGGCATAGAATAACATGGGTAATGCTAAGTCTATGACATATGGATAACATGGGCAATGGTATATCATTGGGACAATGGGATTATAAATGAATCTGCCATAATAAGTAGAACTAATTGTTGTCAAAAACATTTATAATTCTCAAAATAATAACATGAAAGTATTCTAACAATAGTATTGAAAAATTTAAAATCTTTGATACATTTCCCGAATAGTGATTAATGTATAGCATCGGTGTGTGATCCTTGTTTATACTTTTATATACAAGTTTATACAAAACAAAAATGTATTTAATTTATAATGTTTATAATTATAACTCATATGATAAGAATCGTAATTAATCAAACAATTGAATAAAATATTTATATTAAAATTGATATTATTTTTATGCTAATCTTTCACATTCCCTCTCAACCCCTTTCTCGCACTCTCCCCCTTTCACCCCCTCTCACACACTTATTATACGTGAATCATATAAAAATTAATTCAAAATTGATTTATAATAATTTATTATTAATAAGAAAAATTAAATCTAACAAAATTAATATATTTTGGAAGCGAATTTTTTATATAGTAATTATTGAATTAAAATTTTATAGAAAATATAAATGTAGAATAAATGTAGAATTTCTCATTACATTGTTAAATAGAATTGTCTCATAGAAATAATGTTAAATTTGACTCTTGGCTTTACTGCTTGACTACTAGAGAAACAGTTTATTTTAAAAACTAAATATTAAAGTATATAGTTATTAATTCTCTTTGAGTAACGCTAATAGATCTGTTGGTAAGCAAATACACAGATTAAACATTACACTTTAATATCTATTAAATCAACCAAAAACGCTTCCAATACGCTTCCAAACGGTTTCCCTATTGACTACTCCCAGTGCACAACTGTTACTTCGTTGCCGATTAATACTCTAGAGTTGAGCGACTTTCAAGAAAATGCCATTACTAGGGCTTTGGGTAAATATAGTGGTCGTAAGCGAGAAATTTGCGGTTTCAGTCTTCGCACCACTAATTAGTCGGTAATTGAGGAGAAGTTTAACCAACGATAGCTTCACCACAAGTAATGCGAATCGCATTCCAATGCAATTTCGTGGACCACTTCCGAAGGGTTGCCACGAATTCGGGTAAATCTCGTGCTTTCGGTCGGCGCTAAACCTCATGGGATCGAAGACTTCGGGTTCGCAACAATAGTCGGGCGAGTAATGCAAATAATGGACGTCAACCACAACTGAACTGCCTTTTGGTATAACAATAGTGTCATTGAGTTTGTAGTCTTCATGACATTCTCGGGCAACAAATGTAACGATTGGCGAATAAAATCTGAAAGTTTCCTTTAAAACACAATCCATAAAATCTAATTTCTGGACAGTATTGTAGTCAAGGATACCATCACTTTCTTGCAGTTTCTGCACCTCTTGTCTCACTCTTTCCTGAATATCGGGATATTTAACAAAGATATGAGACATATATCCGAGTGCTGTACTCGTCGTCTCATATCCGGCCAAATATAGTGTTGTAGAGTTGGCTAACACTTCAGAATCGGTTAAAGAAATTTCATTTTTGTGTTGTTTGCTATCTTTTAAATCATTTGTGTCTTTGTTTTGTGCGTTTATTTGAACTTCATTTTCATTTCCTGCAGTCATCCTTTGTCAGTCATGTCTTCACTCGATATTTTTGAATCTATCAATAGTTGTAATAAATCTTTGCGACGAAAGTTTGGATTATGTTTTCGCAATGCAATGATATCTCCGACCAAATCAAGCATTATATCCAGCGGTGAGAGTCCTCTCATGTTTTGTATGATTACATGAAATCTTCTGAACGGATAGAAAATGAGATCCAATTGTGGAAAGCATTGAATCAATAAAATAACCAAACGATTGACTTTTGTGCGAAACACTCTTTTGGCTGCATTTAGAAACTTATTGTTTTCTTCGTTTTCAACATTGGTTTGTATACCTAAAGCTGTTCTTCCGATTATATCATTGACTAAACTTTGAAACATACCATAAATATCAAACTCGTGACCAGTTTTGGATCGCTTGTCGATTATATGAATGAAGTTCTTGAAGGCGTCGTCTATAATGGGTGTCATTGTCTTAAGTTTGGATGCGCTGAAAGTCGGAGTCGAAACACTTCTCACTTTTTTCCATCGCTTTCCCCGAAGAATAAGAAATGATTCGTCAAAACGCGAGTCACCAAAGGGTCCGCCTTTGAGTTTGAGGTTCGCTCTGTCCGTGAAGTTATGAAAGTCCTTAATCTGTATGTCTTTCGCTACGTCCGCGTCGGCCACCAAAACAGTGGCTTTCGCTCCCATATAATAGCCAACTATTTTGCCGTATTTTGCGATCCATTTCTCGTTTCTCTTAATTGCAGACAATTTGGGATTTTGTAAA